CTAGCCTCCCATGACACGTCCATTAACCACTCTGAGATGTACACAAGCCAGCACCCTGGAGCCATTCCTGATATTGCCACCTGGCAGTTGTCCCCCGCCCCACATCTGCAGGAGTGTGCTTCCTTCACAGCTGCGTTAACACCTGGAAATACCAGGTGAGGTCACCTTCAAAGGCTGTCCAAACCCAACTTTGTAATGAAGCAGATTGGGAGCAACCTATTAACACAACTCAATAAAGGTCTGGGAACAAGAAAATGACCAAGAATGGTAACTTCCTAAATTGCTGCGGTTAAATCCGTCATAGAAGTTTGCCTCTGCCTTAGGAGCTGGGGTTTTTTTTTAATTAATAAATAAAAACTCTTATTCTGGCTAAGTCAGATTTTTAAAGTTGTGGAACTATAAAGTTATTTACACTTGCACTGTCATAAAAATAGTCAAGACACTCTTATTCTTCCTCTGCTCACTGCTAACAACTCTCGTTCCAACAAAGCCAACATCAACAAGGACATCAGGCAACTGGAAGAGTTAGCCAATAGTAAAAATTTATAATTTGATTCTTGAGGAGTAAAATAAAATAGCATGCTTAAAGTATTAATTTATGTTCAAATAAATACCCTCATTAGCAGCATGATTTTGAATCACTGCACACTGACCAGAAAAGGCGTCACACTCTATTGGATAGCCTAGCAAATATCAAGGACCAAAACATAGTTTAGCTTCAGTTTCTCCTTTAGTACCTTACTTTAGAAATCAATTTTGAAAATTAAGAAAGAGGTAGACAAAAACAACAACAAAGAAAAACAAAGCGAGAAGTGGGATTCTGAAAGCCATGCTTCTTTTGGTATGTTTTAATCATATGATGTCTAACAAGTAATTTAGCTTGCTAGTTCAATGAAAAGTAGCAAAACTGAATTACAGTTTCCTGGAATACTTTTTGAAACTAAGATTCATGCCTTGAATTTGAAAAAAAAAAAAAAAAAAAAAGGAAAACACATGCTCCAGCTCCAATTACACTGTTCATATGTTGCCGCTAAAGAGCAACTTAAGTTTCATACATCTTCCCTGAAGTATAAACCGAAGATGTACTGTAAAAATTCCAGGATAACTACACAGTCCTAACAAACAGGTTTTGGTAACACAAAGTGACACATTTCAGTACATATTCATAAGGGTTGGGGGTTATTATTGGGCTGTAATTGCAGTTGTTCTAACACCTAATAAGCCATGGCTGGAAAAACAAAGGCAGGTTAATTTGTGATTTCCTCTACTCATTCAGAGGCAAATTAAGTGTCAAACAGCTAATACAGAACATATTTCATTTTATGAGATTTTAATTTAATTCTGCACCATATCGTTGATGCCTTAATGTAGGGTGGTTTATCTAAGAAGAAGAGCAATTTATAAACCTCTTTCAATTGAAATCTTTAATGATAGGATACGATAGCATAATTACAGCAATGCCTGCTAGTCCTACTATACATAAGCATCTGTCAGCAATTCCATCATAAACATAAACCCTTATTTTAGCGGTTTATAACTCAGTTATAAAATTTGCTCCAGGCTGAAATTTGGGATACAACAGTTCTGCCCATCAGCAATTAAACTACAAAAATTATACATATAAATACATACACATCTTCAGAGCTGAAAGTACTAAGAGCCCTGTAACACCTTAAAAATTCCTCCTTTCTTTTTTCTTTTTCACTTGGCCATTGTTCAAAATTATGTGCACACATTGTTGGTTTCACACAAACAAGGGCCTCTCCACATTTTTTCTGCACTTGTATTATACCTAAACTAATTCCACTAAGGCTTGACAGGTTCTGGAACACATTTCTAGGAGCTTGGATAACTGGAATGATGCCAATTTTTTGCCCTTTTTTTTTTATTTATATCACACACACATTTGAGAGTATTATGAAGCTGAGGTGAAAACCACTCATACAATGAAGTCATTGATGAAGCTGTGGGTAAACATTAGTATCCTGACTGGTGTTCTTGCCATTTTCTCTCAGACTTCTCAAATAACTTCTCAGACCCGGTTCTTTCTTCTTCTTTTTTTTTTAATGGGTGTTAGGACAGCAGTTGAAGTAATGGCTCCAAACAATCCCAAATCTAACACTCCTAAGTGATACTCACACCAGACTCTGTAAAACTTGCAAGAAAACTGCTAGATGTCTACCTCATACATACATTAAAATGTATTCCTGAAAACTGCATGTGCTGGTTTTGGCTGGGATAGAGTTGATTTTCTTCACAGTAGCTAGCATGGGCCTACGTTTTGGATTTGTGCTGGAAACAGTGTTGATAATACAGGGGTGTTTTCATTACTGCTGAGCAGTGCTGACACAGAGTCAAGGCCTTTTCTGCCTCTCACCCCACCCCACCAGCGAGTAG